ACCTTCATTTCTAAGAACCAATTACTGGAATCCACCTGTTGAGATGTACTTTAAACTTTGCTTTAGGCCTGGTATGTCACAGTCAAACAATATCAAAGTTTATTGTCGACCAAGTGACTATAAATCACACTGCTACCCTCAATTATCCACAGTTACTTCAAATAAAACAGGCAACGTTTTAAAAAGAAATGCTTGACTAAGCCAGAGAGAATTCAATGGGTTTTTTTTAATTGGTCTTGTGCAAAAAAAAAACTGGAGCTTCAATTTCTACCACAGACAATCTGAGGGAAAAGAAACTCTGCCCAGAAACTTCGTGTCTTGTTCGCAAATTTAAAAACCCGCTCATTCATCATTTCTGAAGTCTGTGCCCTTTACAGAGAAAAAGAAAATGTGTCCAGCTGCAAGTCAAGTCTGACTTGAGCTTGGTGGCCAAGAGCCCCGACAACAGATCCACATAAGGTCAATGCTAAACTAAACCAAAGGGCCGCTTTGTCCCATGAGCAGAAGAAGAAGAAAAAAACCTGCTGCCTTTAGTTTGACCCACATATCTGGGTTAACTCCACCTTTTTTTTGAAGTCAGCTTTCCAGGAAGGAGAAAGTGAGGCATGTTGGACTGCAGAAGCCTGACTGGTTGTTTAAAACGGACTAATTCATTCAATCCAGTCTAAACATGGCAGTGGCATTTGATAAAGCTGAGGGACAGAGACGGGTGAGGCCGAGGAATGTGCTCCTGGAAATACAAATTAAAAAAATCCTTGCTGATGAACTCGAGTTTCAAGACTCACAGCCTTCAGATAATACTTGGTGACACTGGATTTGTCCCAGACGAGCAGACGATGTACCACAGGTATCAAGCGTATCGTCTGCACAGGATGTCAGCTTGTACTGGCTGACATGGAGCAGAAAGAAAAGCAAAGTGAAAGGTGAGACTGTCTTTTATCTGGAGAGAACTGAGGCTTGTGTGACCTTAGCTGGCAGACAGATGCCCTGCTAATGGATCACATTACTTCAGTGACACAGACAGTTCAAATGCATTCTTGTTAGTCTACAGCAACATTCAGATTCAGATTCAGATTTTTGATTGTCCCACAAGGGGAAATTTGCATTGCAACAGGAGCACACAGAAGACAAGAAACACAAGGACACAGCAAAATATCAAACCAAATAAAAACAGCGCAATAAAATCAGTCAAGAGTCCGTACCAGCATGGAAATTCAAGTTATTAAAGTGCAAAGGGGAGGTGTGCAAAGGTGCAATTCAAGTGCAAAAAAGAGCAACAAATAGCTAATTGTTGTTTAACATATTAATTGCACTTGGTAAAAATGAGACCTGGAGTCTTCCTCACAGGAGCTCTAAAACAACGACCTGAGGGTCAAAGGTCAAACTCACTGTGAAGTGATGGGATCACAAGTATGGCCTTAGCTTTCCTCAGGACCTGCTGGTCAAAAGCCCAACATAACAATAATTATATTAAAAGTTGATATCAAAGATACAACTCTCTCTAATGGTGCACTCTCACTAGGCAATCCGTACCATGTCGAAGTACGCTTCATCACTAAACTCCAGTGAGTTTGAATAGTGTGAGTGCTCCAGTCCTACACTTCCTCAGCCCTGGTACTTTTGGAAGAGATGTGCTACAGTTGCTCATATGCCGAGCACAAGCACGGGAACACAGCGTGGACATGACGTATAAATCGATCCCCGCCTTGCATTATAAAAAAAAAAAAACAGTAGGGTGGTATCAGACAAAAACTTTAAACCACCATTATAGACCTCTAGAAAAAAAGTAGACACAATCAAAGAGGAAACAACAAAGAAAATTAGAAGCAATTTAGTTGAGAGAGAATTACAAAACTCCGCTTTAATACAGGGGTGCAAACGCATCAGGGATGAAAAAGGTGACATGGATCCAAACCCCCTAGGGGGGCCCGGGGCCAAGCTCCCCCGGAGAAGATTATTCTTTTTTTTTTTAAATATTAGCTTTAAAATGTTAATTTACAGACAATTTTTGCATTCAGACCGACTAAAGAAGCAGTGCAAACAATAAGAAAAACACAATTGCTCGTCGATATCAGCAAGAAGCATGACAGCTCGCGTCACAGATTTAACCCCCCTCCAAAATGTTTTATTGCAGATCTAAATCACACAAATGACCTATTTAAGTTTGCACCCCTGTAATAATATTCAACATCACATCTGTTTGGCTGCGGACTGAGGGGGTGGCGGTGGGAGCAGCCATGATGTCATAGCACAGAGTGGACGTTAAAGCCTCGTCTGGACCAGTTTCAATGTGCTAACACAGGACTGATGATTACTATCAACAAACAGACTTGTTTGTCTTTGACCAGGCCAAAGAATTTAACGGGGCCTCTTGCATTCACTCACTGAGTAACGTTTAAAACAGCAGCGAGAGAGGGGGGCAGGTTTGTGTTTAACAAGACCCTTAATGAAACTTGTACAACATGTATTGATTGAAGCCTGCTTTTGTTCATTCAAAACAAAGTATGCACCGCACAGTCAGTTCTATACCTGATGTAAACTTGAGGTCATATTGTTTTTCCACCCTCCATTTCTCGCTCTCTCTTGATTTCTTTTGTTTGTTTCCCGATATAGTCAACAATCTCGTCTTCCCGGAGCCAGATAGCATCTTGAACAGCAGTGGAGCCGCTCAGATTATTTGTGTACAACAGAGAATGCTTTTACACCTGAGATGGTGATAAGGAAATTCACCCGAGTGCTTATTTGGCTCACAAACAAAAACAGCCATCGATGATACGCCCTTCTTTTGTTGTCCGTAGATTTAGCGGCCTAAAAGGCTTCATGTGCTGCGGAATATTTGCTCCATGAAGCGAGGCTGAGAAAATGTGAATGTCTACGGGGGGGATAAGGAACATCCACAGCCTGACACAGAGCTGAAGGGAGGAGTCCGTCCCACGCTGGGTTCAGCCTCTGCTTCTGTCCCTACAATATAACCTGCATTTTATCTGAGAGGGTCAAACTGAAGTCAGAGTCATCTGCATGATTACGAGCAGATGACAACAGGAGAGCTCACTTCCTTCTTTGGAGCGAGCGTGTTAAAAAAAAACAGAATGGCATGGGGTTGAGCTGTTGACTCTGGTGAGCGTTTAAAAAAATGATTTACCTTGCTGAACGTTTGACCTACTTCTCCTTCCACCCTGAGTGTGTGAAGTCGAGATGGTGCAACAAGCATCACCAGATGGCCAGACAAGAAGACGTGTGTGTGTGTGTGTGTGTGTGTGTGTGTGTGTGTGTGTGTTCAGCACTGTATTCCAGCTTGTGTTGCACACACTGCCCTGACCTATACCGTGTAGACAAGTCGTGCAAGTTACCCACATACACGCAGAGCAGCTCTCTTTAAAAGCCCCAGCCTACAATAACAGTCCATCTTGATCGCGTTACATGCCCGGGCACGGCGCTGGAACCCCCGACAAGCCTACTGTACTTCAGTTTCAGGTGTGTGCACTTCATCTTTTTCTGCAGCGCACTCACTCGGGGTCAGTCAGTCAGTGAGTCAGTCAATCGCAGTTCAAGGCTCCTTCCCTCTCTCTCTCTCTCGTCTCCGGCCACCTGAGCTCGGCTGCAACTTAAAAATATCTGACCTTTTCTTGAATCACAAGCCAAGCAGGGACAGTCCCACCCCGGCATGCCACACCGGGGGGGGGGGAACCAACAAACCCCATGACATCAAATAAAGTGGAGAGGCTGCTGAGGCGGAGCTATGCGGTGAGTGTGAGCAGTCAAAAAAAAAAGGGGAGGGGGAGGGGTGCATCAGGGTCAGGAGGTGGAGAGGGAAGAGAATGGACGGGGGAGGGGCTGGGTTTTGCATTTTTTTACAATGTGTGGCTAAGCAAATTCCTGGATTTCAGGCGTTTACCTGGGCCTGCCGCAGAGGACTGGACGCAGACAAACGTTCATGTTTTGGATTCAGGGGACACATGACAAATATGCAAATAAAGAAATGTGCTTTTTTTCTTTTCTTTTCCAACAAAATGATAATGGATGTTTAACTCCATGCAGGGTTGGGAAGGTGTGTTGTCAGAGCAGAATATGCAAGATGCTAGTTTGGATCGACAACAGGTCCAAAACGCAAAAGATATTAGTTGATAGTAGGTGTGTAGTGCATCATTTGCGAGTCTAACAAATGGTTAAAAAAAAACAACTGACAAACATACCAACAACAATTTCCCAGATGTCTTCCAATTTGCTTATTTTATGAAACCCACTGATCAAAACCTCTGAAAAGGCTCATGAACAAAATGACAAAAATGACCAATTCCTGATTTTAAAGGCTTTATAACAACTCGCGCTGCATTGTTGTGTTAGCATGCTAATGCTAGCGATCTTTATTATGCTGGTATCTTCACACTGCATGTAAATTTACCTGAAATGAGCGTGATCTAGAAACACAGTTAAGCAGTGAGTACAGTATGTTATTCTTCTTTTCTCTAGTCCCTCAATTAAACAACTTTTATACACGAGGGGAGGAGTCAGCCGGCCGTCCTGGCGATGTAAACAAAGTGAAGATAGGACTCTGAAAACTCTGAAAGCATCACAGACAGTGGGACTCGGGTGTTACACCCATTGTAGACAGTCATGACTCACAGAGTTATTTTCAGAGGATATACTTGATTTCTACATTTAAGTGACATATTAAGCCTTTAAGAGCCTTAAAACTAAAATTATTTTGACATCTTTGCTTGAAAAATCAATTATCATTATCAAACTATGTGCTGACAAATTCCCCAGATCAATTCTTTGTTGCAACTTCAACTTCATTAATAGTGATGTGAATCTGAGAAAAGCAGCAAATCTGCACAATTAAAAAAAAACAGCTTCAGCATTTTACTGGAAAAAGTGAAGTAATTACACTTTCCTTTAATTCACTTCTCATCATTAATAACCTCATTGTGTGTGTGTGTGTGTGTGTGTGTGTGTGTGTGTGTGTGTGTGTGTGTGTGTGTGTGTGTGTTCATCTGTACCTCTTGAACGCCTCCGTGGGGTTCCTCTCGCACTCCCCCGGCTGCAGAGCGCTCTGCACGGCCGGGTCGCAGAGCACCTTCTCCTCGTACCCGGCCAGCAGCCCGCCGCGGCAGATCTGAGCCACCAGGCCTCGGACGAACCCGCCGGCGCACAGCGTGTCCGAGTCGTCCGCCCGGCAGAAGTGGTACGCCAGGCCCTGCTGCTGCAGACCCCGCTGCGTCCCCTGCGCCGACGTGGGCCACAGCAGCTCCGTGCACAGCGCCGTTTTCCCGCTCCCCGGACCGCCCACCAACAACACCCCCCAAGAGCCGCCGCCGCCCGACTTTGAGGACCCCGTCCCCGTCAAGGTGCCCGGGTTCGACGCAGCCCCCCCGCCGGGCGCCTGCTTACTGGGAGTGCTGGTCACTCCGCTGAGGTTGCTGGTTTTCTCCTGGAGGCAGTGCTGGATCTTGTGAAAGACCCACTCCCGGCAGTAGAAGCGCTTCCCCTGCAGCAAACTGGTTTGTGCCATTTTTTAAATATAGTGCTGCTGCTCCTCCTCTTCATAGGGGTCCCTTCATCCCCACCCTCATATTTTCAACTCCAACAAAACATAAATCCGAACATCCATTTTTTTCCCCCGTCTCAGAAAGCAGGTCGCAGTCTCTCTCTTTCCGCCCTCCTGTGTTGACGTTTGGAAGAAGAAGAATGCAACTTGAGTGAGAGCAGAGAAGAGAAGCAGATGGCAGGAAAAAGCAGCTGAGCTCGTCGGTGCGTTTCAGAATATCTAGGTCAAAAAAAAAAAAAAAAAAAAGGGAAATCAAAAATCGAGACTTAGATTTTCCACCAACTTCTTCCACCGCTTCCCCACTGGTTGAACTGAGTGCTCCTTGTTATGATGAGGAGTGTGTTGCCTTAGCATGGCGCTGGGCATGGCAGGGGCACCCGGCTCTTGAGTGCGTCCGCTGGCAAACTCCAGAGCCACCGCCGCTCGATGCAATTAGCCATGGGAGCTGCTGATATATTTCCGCTGAGGCATTTCAAAATGCTACCGGGGGTGACCGAAGCGCGTTTCCATTACATTAACGCAGACGAGGAGGAGGAGGAGGAGGAGGCATGCCAGTTACCAGAGTCAGTTTCTCCAATAACATGCAAAAACTCTCTGGCTCTGGACCTGGAAAAAAAAAAAAAAAGACAGAAACAAGGGCTGGATTAGGACACATTTAAAAACTCAACTTCATGCTACTGCAAGGCTAACAAGCTACAGTCCAGGACCTGCAACAGTTTGCAACTATACTCGTTATAATGCAAGATACTGTTGTGGATATTTTCCAACCTGCAGACTATTCCTGCAGTGTAACAAAGGTGTGCATGTTGATTTTTTCTGTGCTTTTATCCTCCACATCACCGCCTGCTTGCCCTGCAACTAAATTCTTGGCAGGGGTTCGTCCAGTTTCTCTAGTCTATCCACTGATTCCCCCCCCCCTTCCTCTTCCTTCCTATGTGGCTTTAAATCCCAAAACAGTCCACATCCGTCCTGAACTGTGGGGGTGGGAAAGTCCAAATGGGAGCACCTCTCTCTTTTCCTTTTCCTACATGTACAGGGGGGGGGGGGTCCTTTAACATGGGGTGGAAGTGGTAACCCTACAAATGGGACAGCTTCAGCTTTTGCAGGGTGACAGATATCTTACACGAGTTGAGAAAAGCCTGCAATTAGGAATGATGATGATAATTATGACTGATCTTTAAAAAAAAAAAAAAAAAAAAAAGGGAGGAAACTGCATAAAATGGTGCTCTCGCTTGTAGTAATTGTTTTGGGGTTTTTTTTGGCCAAATGCAGCTTTTATTTTGCCCTTCATCACTGCTTAATACGAGTGCTTCTCTATAATGGAGCAAATGGCAATATTACCCAGCCTCTCCAGCCAAGAACACACACACACTGAAACACACACACACACACACACACACAGACAGAAACACACACACACACTCTCACACCGAGTCTTGCTGGCTACTTTGTAACGCTGCCAAATAACAACACGAGCAGAGATACATTTCCACCTTTCTGTTTTTTTCTAAGGCTTCCTCCAACACAATGCTTTTTTAAAAAACACAAACATGTGAAGTCTATCAATGGTTTGTGTGTTCTGAGGCGGAAGAAGACTAATAATCTATCAGAGCAAAAGCGACACCGATTGACTCCAGTGACTGAAAAGGCAGCACAAGTCTTTTGTATGTGGCACAGCCAGACAAACCTCACCCATTTCACGTACAATTTTACACCTACTGGGGGGGGTGGAGGGGGGGGTTGCTTTAAGACCCCGGTCCAGACCAGCTAACAGTTGCATGCATTGAGGAAGGAAAACTAAACCTACATAAATGAAGCCGTTTCGCGTTATTGCAAGGCAACACGAAACTGTCCTGAAACTTCAATTTAGCCAATTGGAGCGTTTCTACAGTTTCAAATGTCTCACATCCCCGAACGGTTCCCCCTCTCCCCCCTCACCTCTTTTTTGATTCCTCTTGTTTGTGTTTTTTTTTTTTGAGGGGGGTTGATTGCTGCTGTCCGTAGTCAACACCCTTTCTGTCCGCGTTAAAAAAAAAAAAAAAAACCTCCACATAAACCAGTCGTTCGTTTCCTCCGCTTCACTGAAGTCCGTGTTTGTGCGTCTGAGCGACGTTCATGTCTTTTCTTTGAATCTCTCTTTTCCGTCGGTGTCGGCTCCTCCTGCTGCCCGACACAGCTCCACAGTGAGCCAGCCCGACTGACTCTCCGCCTCCAAACACACTCTACATTTCTCACCACTGCATGCAGAGCACACACACATTAACGAGCCGCGCAAGGCCTTATGGGACATGTAGTTTTAATGCCCCATTTGTCAGCCATTATTGAAATTAAACGAGGCGGTCTAATATTTGGCAATTGTTTCGTTTATTTCAATGTATTTATATTTTTTTAAATGCCGACACAGCAGGCTCTATTTTCAGAATCGTTTTTATTTTTGTAGTTCTTTTGTACCTCAGCCTGTAGGCTACTTCGGGTTTCAAGGCAAATTTTGTACCTTCAATCAATCAATCAAACTTTATTTATATAGCACCTTTCAGACAAATTAAATCTCAGTTCAAAGTGCAGAAAAGTTTTTGACAAAAAAAGTAGTTTATAAAATCATTGAGAGACTAATGCACACCAATAAGAATTGAAAAATAACATGTAGTAAAGTGAAAAAATAAAATACGACACATAAAAGCAACAAGATATTAAAATTAATACATAGGATACAAATATTTGAAATTGTAGTAGGATAAAAAAGACAATACAATAATGTTAATATTTGAATTGATATAAAGCACTATATAAAAGCCAGACTAAATAAATTAGTTTTAAGACTGCGTTTAACATTTTTTTGTATTTAACATACCTTGTCTTTCTTGGACCTGATTTTCTAACAATCCTAATTTTTCATGCCATATTCTTTTTAGCATTAAAAAAGCACCTATAAATATTTAAAACAAATTCATTATAGCCTATAGCCTAACAAGAAATGTAATACAAAATTCAATAAAATATAAAATCATAACTATACATTAAAATATAAAGAATAAATGTAGGATGTAGCCTATATTTTTCAATAGCCGCACTTTTATTAAATGTGTGATTATTTTTTAATGAGCACCCCCATTGAAAACTTTTTATGCCATTTCTACTCTTTTTTCAACCATGGCTGTTTAAATATCTAAGAAACTAAATGAATTATCTAACTCTGAAATATTGGCCCCTTACAAAGAGTAGCTGCATGATAAAAATAGAAGTCAAATGTTGCATGACAGGGGAGTATATTGTTCAAACTATTTTGGACTCCTTGACAATTTGTAGTCTGTTTTCCCGTTCAGAAAAGAATAAAAGACCCAAGACAATTACGAAAACAACAACAGTGGTTGCGGTCTGTCTTTAAATATTATTTGAAAGCAGTTGTTCTCTGGGCCTTGGGAAGTATACACAGTGGTTAGATTGAAAAGGTTTACCGACTGCCCAAAGTTTGTAAGAAGATATTCAAACCTAAAATGTAAGAATAGTTTTTCCAAAGTGATGCCTGTCAAATAGTGTAGTAGTGAAATTATTGTGCACTGAAAACACAAAAAAAATAAACCTGCTTCGATTTAAAAAGGAACAGATTTGATGTTAAGCTTCAAATGTCTATTTTTCCTGCAGCTGGTGCTTTTTGAAAAATCCTTATTTCAGTCTTGCTCAGGGATATCTTTGTGTCTGTTTGCCCTTTTCGGTTTTCTGTTGAACATAGGAACAGCATACTTCATGTTTTTTGTTTTTTTTAATAACAAAATAACATCTATTTGCAAAGAGGACCTTGAACAACCTCAAAGCTTGAAAGACACTTCCAGAAAAATAGTGCTCCCAACGATCTGACGGCACAGACTCACACGTATGTGACAGTGAACATTTCAATTATAGCGTTAGCGTATTTGTTCCCGGGGCTCTCTGGAGTATTTTTTGAGTTGACTGAAATGTAGAATATAATGAATAACTACGTCAGTAATGTTTGTTTCTCTCTGCCCTTGTCCCTGCACAGTCTCAACAAACATATTGATTAAAAAGTCATTGAAAGCAGCATCAAAACAACTGCTAGTGACTTTAAATAATGTTGGAAATGTGTAAACTTTACATATGAGCATGATCAAAATCCAACCCCTGATAATTGACTCTGTACGTTGCTAATGGCTCAAATCTGTGGTTTGTGCGCACACACACACACACACACACACACACACACACACACACACACACACACACACACACACACACACACACACACACACACACACACACACACACAGAGGCATATTCTAAAATACATCGCCCACAAATACACACAATTTGTGTCTGCCAGCATTAAAGAAGTGGATGCAAATGATGACATTTTATTTCACGCTTTCTCATCCATTTCAATTCATAAAAACTCTTGAATCAAATGCTTGCCATGTTGCTTTGATGGTAACTCTGGAAAATGTGTTTTGGTGATGCCATGAGTTGCAATAGTTTCATGTTTAAAACATCTCGTCGACTCGTTTTTCTTTTTTTCTTTTTTTTTTTGCATTCTGCACAAGACGCTTCATTTTAAGGGCATCCTGCGTATTTCAAAAAACTGCCCCCAAGTTTGCTGATGAATGGGATCAGACAGAGCTGCAGATTGATAAGGCGGCGTCAGACAGCTGAGCGATCGTGTACTCAACAGGATTGCTTTATGGAAAGTTATCATTTCTGTTCAGTCACAGGGCTGACCACATCATTTTCTAATGACTTATGTCATTCACGTTGGAGCCGTCTCTTTATAGATCTGCTGGACTGCAAGGAATGAATCATTAATTAGATATAAAAGAAACATGCAGGGTTGTTTCTGCTGTGGTCCAACTGTTATCTGTGATGTGTTACAAACATTACAGCTGATGCACCGGATGTGTGTCAATGTTAGTGAGTACAAGACCGGTGTTTGTCCGGGTATTAAGATTTACTTCTGACAATCATTTAAAGAGATTGGAGGAAAAGAGGAGAGGTAGGAAGCGAGGAGAGGGAGGATGAGAGGAGAGGGAGGACGAGAGGAGAGGGAGGACGAGAGGAAAGGGAGGACGAGGGGAGAGGGAGGACGAGGGGAGAAGATGCAGTTTTCAGCCTGATAATAAAGTCTTATAGTCGGTGTTTGAACTCTGCATTCTCCAGTCCAAAGATGTAGATCTTTTTTTATTTATTTTGGGAAATAAAAATAAAATAAATAATCAATGGCGTTTGTTGTCTTATAAATTAATCCATGTTATATCCTTCTCTCAGTTGTGTTGAATCAAACAATCAAACAAAACTGAGTTGTGTGATTTAGAAGTGAAATCCTGTGAAATTGTCAAACTCTGTTGCATAACCCGTTTAAGCAACAAAATAGTGCGAGTGAGTGAGCTGTAGCAGAAACATGACTCCCTTCTTTTCCCCTCTCCTTCCAGCAGTGATTGCACATGGGGGGCTTGCAGGTTGATGTGTTTTGATCTTACTCGAAGCTGCTGATCTTACAACTTATTTATCGCCGTCTGAAGAATCACTTCAGGGACGTCTTCTTTGAGGCGAAGCTGCAGCTGCAGGTTGTAATAACTGACAAAGGCTGATGCTGTCTGTGCTCTGGTGGAGATATTTACAGTCTGAGCTGGAGTCTCTTTTGTCTTTAGTGCTGCCCTCTGTGTTTGGGGTTAGGGTTCAATTGAGGTTAACGGTAAGTAATTGTTAGGGGTCATAATGTTATGGGTTGGAGTTATGGCTGAGGTTTAGTTCAGGTTAATAAGTTCAGATATACACAAATTAATATAGAAACAGATGGTGACACACACTGGACAAAGACTCAAAAAGATTAAAGTAGTATATGCCAACCCTGCTTCTAGAAATTATGCCCTGCTCCTATAATCTGCAGGAAGGATTTCTCCTCGCGTTCCCGTTGTTCACACTTTCTTGCCGCAGAGCAGGCCGTGCATGAATGAGGACGGTGGCGGTTGTCGGGATGACACAGTCCAATGGGGTGGCTAGGCGTCAGGTGGTGGTTTAACTGAAAAGCATAATCTTCCCTTCAGATGAACCAAAGTAGTTGGGTTGTCGTTTTTCTGTTAAAGCTAAAACAATCCACAGGATTCTTGATACAATCTGGTGACATGGTCTCCACTTAACCATCTCACTGTGACGCAACCAAAGTCACTCAAAACCAAGCTGAGTCTTTAATAATAATAATAATAATAATAACTTTATTTGTATAGCAACTTTTAAAAACACAGGTTTACAAAGTGCTTTGACAAACAGCAAAAACAAGAACAAACTAAACCAAACACAGAAGAACATAAACAACAGCAAGAACATAACAAATGCAAAATACTAAAAATAATTAAATACAATTCAACAGAAAAGAACCCAAAGTGCACGATATCCAACAGACATATATAACCCGACCATCACAAGAACCATCATAAGAACCATCACAAGAACCATCACAAGAACCCAGGAAACACAAGAACCCAACAACACAAGCTGAGACCAAGAGGACCAAAGATTTAAAAAGATGTAAGAAACTAAAAGAGCTAAAAGCAAATAAAAAGATAACAGCAATAAGAAAGTAAGAGCAGTAAAAGAAATAGAAACAAGTCTAAACATATTACAGACAAACTTCCCAAACATATCTGTGAAATGTATTTCCAGGGCAATCGGGGTTGTACCAGAAAAATTCTACAAAAACATGAGAGGTAGTCAAAACCTTCCACTGCAGCCACATTTAGAGAGTGAGCCAAAGTGTCTGACTGAGAGGTGTGATGATGTTGTTTGATGGAGCAGAATGACTGTAGATTGACTCAGTGAGAAGTATGACTGTGGCTTACACAACTGGCATGTCATGTAGGGGCTTTGCAGAAAGGAAAGAAGAGGAGGACTCTTGTAGAATGACAGTGTCGGTATAGCATGAAATGAAAAAATCTAACTGTCAAAACTTTTTCAAAAGGTTATCTTTCTAAAAATACAGTTGTATGGGCTGTTTGTGCAAACTGCTCGTTATTGTTCATGTGTTGTTCTACCACCGACTCTCGAGGGTCGGTGTGTACTTACCTCTCTCCATTTTCAGATCTCATCTCAAAACACATCTTTTTAAACCGGCATATTCAGTCTGATCATTCTCCACCCGGTCTCATAACTCCTTTACATCCTGTACATTTCTGTTTTTTAATGT